TTGTCCCGTTTCAGCTGTTATTGCTGCCTTCAGGAATACCCCCTCTCCTCTTGAAGGACCAGCCTTTATACTCCTTCCCTCCCAGCCAGTCCTCCCTCCAAACGTCTGGCCTCTCTTTTGGCTCCATTGGTGCATAATGCTGATCAGTATTCAACCCACAGTTTTCGCCGGGGTGGTGCTTCATGGGCGTTGTACTCAGGTATACCCACTGAGTTAATCAAACTCCTGGGGAACTGGCAGAGCGACTCCTTCAGAAAATATCTGCATCCATCCCTTCCTCTGAGGCGCCAAACAATGCACCAATTCATAGCCAGACTACCTTCTACGTAACAACTACTCTCACTACGATGTCTTGGATCTTTGGGGACTTTAGTCCATTAGTTTAGTTTGTAGTTTTTAGATATGTACGTTACAAGTGAATCCTGTACATGTAGATGTACTTATGAAATTAGATGTGAAACTCGGAGAGCTTTGAGGGAGTTGGATCTCAGTCTGTCTGAAGATGATGCCTATGGTTAATCTGATTTTACATACATGTATGGTTTAAATAACTAATATTAAAATGATTATGTTAATTGTAATTAATGTTTTCTGCTTATGTTGTGTGATAGCGAACTGGTATGTGTGTATTTTAATATTATATTAATCAGTATTAATATACACATTAATATTCTTTGAAAAGGGTCCATTATGAATGGACAAATCAGTTTGGAGAAGCAAAAGCTATGTATTCATAGCTTGAAAATTGATCTAACCATCACTAATAATGACATTTTTGCTAAAAAGAACCCTCCCTCCCTGTCCGTCGTGCAATGCGGACAAAATAATAAATTTCCTTATGTGTCTCCTACTATATTACATTTACCTTCTACTCTTAAACTTAATGAAAGCCCTGAGAACTGAGTGTTTAGGTTTATTGTCTGGACTGTCAAACGGATGCAGGCCTAGTGGTACCATTCGATTTTGCAGTGACTTTCATCGCATGTGATCATAACCTCAGTCTCGTCGCCACCACAAATACAAAATAATTCATTGTTAAATAGCACTTCTTCTTCGATACTTTCTAATGAGTAAATAAACTATAACTATCATCATGGAACAAGCAGAAACAATAGCGTCCTCTCTTTTTCCTTTTCTAGCTCCATGTTCAAACCAACTACCTGCTTGCCTCTCTCAAGTGCTGCCAAAGGACAGCCTGGTTCTCTCACTTTTATTTTGTGCTTGTCATCCATACATACAAAGGTGGAGTATGTTACAATATGTCATTACTGATGCTCATTTGTTTTAACATGTTATATTTGAATTAACATAGAGCCAGAATGAGGCTATGACCTGAGGTCATTCTCTGTGCATGTTGTTGTAATCCAAGATGTCTGCCACCAATGTGATTAAATCACTACTGTTGAAACAATGGCTGATCGCACTCTCATTATATGAAAACAACACTCAAAACATGGTGACAGTGGTGCAGCTTGATTCCCACGTTTCTGTAAGTCAAGAAAAGCAACCCAAGATCTGCGAAACTGCGAAAATTTTGACGCAGAATAACTTTGAGTGTACTCCACTGTATTAGTAGTGGTTCCAATGAAAATCTTTTTCTTGCAGTCTGTGAAAAAAATGCAGTACCTAACATGAAGCACTTATACTATAGTCTCTGACTGTGAAAAAAATTTGCTGAAAAAACTCATTAAGGCGCAAAAAGGGTTTGAACTCTGCAAAACTGAAAATTGGAGCCTGCCAGCACACCAATATGGCCGCCCTTTGTTATGGTAATTTTGTATAGAATTTGAAAACACCTGGTTGTCATTGACAACATTTGTCTTGTTTAATACTATCAAAATAACAGCAATGCAAGTATTTCCAGTGTTTAAAATAGCATTTTACTAGTGTGACCCTAATTTTATCTCCATGTTCTCAGTGAAAAAGTAAAAAAAAGGCCAAAAGCACTATTTTATCACATCACAACTTACGAAAGTTAAACCATAATTTCCTCGCTCAAATGTTCAGACAACATGTGCGTAACTTAAGCTCGTTTTGAACTCCATTATTTTGCAATGAAAATCTTTGCGATTATCTGAGTGTATGTGACATGTGTGTATATATGTTTGTTCCACAATATATCCAGAACAACATGTTGTACTTAAATGCTTTTTGTATAATTCAAATAGTTTGCATAAGTTCAACCTCCAAGTAAAACAAGTCAGTTGACTACCCAATGTGCACATACACTACTACCCATGTGGCTACATCACAAAGCAGAACATAAATGTATTTCTACTCATCAACAAAACTTTATACTATTAGCTTCAAGGTTTGTTTTCTATAATCACACATTAATTGGTAAGTATATACAACTGGTAGACCGTCATCTGTCTGCTCGTCGTCGTATGTTATGTTGTACCATTCATGGTAGCCTGGTACCTACATGTAGTGAGTAATGGCTAATATTTGATCATTAATATGTGCAGACTAAAATATGAAATGATTTTGCTTAATTGATACAATATGGCCGAAAATATGTGTTATTGCAATATCTTTGTTTGATATAGCATGTTGAGATTAAAATGGCTCACAATTGATCCTAAACTAAAAATGTTGCTCTGGCAGCACACTTCAGTCACTTCGAGTATTCATTATTTGAAATTTGTAAAACAATACTATGTATGTGCAGTTATTTTTACTGTGCTTGTGTATTATGAAATACATAATTCAAAATTATAAAAATAATCAGCTAAAATGTGCTAAAAGAATACCGCTAATACTTTCAGGTTATGATTAATCAGAGTGCAAAGAATTCCACAACACTATCAAACAGCATCATTAAACAAACTTTTTTTTTTAAATATTGTATCTATCAAGCACCACTACACAACAACATCCTACTGATTCTTGCATACACCCAAAGTACAGTGTACAATGTGGACATTTTGCAATTTATGTGACAGATTATTACAGTGCTGAATGTGTGTGATGTTACTCTAGTATTTAACCAAAGTTAATCTAGTGGCATTGCTAATCAGCAATTAGACAGTACAATTATCATAATTAATTACACTGTTAGTGACATGAATGGTAAAGTGCTATTTTTGCTGGTGCTTAAAGAGAAATCAGCCTTGGTATTACCTGTGAGATTACTTTCCCAGTGTACCACTTAGATTCCCCAGTGGTACTATCATCAAATTGGTGTGTGACACGTTTTCCAACAAGAAACACATTCTCACTGGCAGGTGGCAAAGACAAACAATCATTCACCAACTTCTTAAGATTCGCTGTCAATTCAGCCTCTTACCTTATCTTGTTTTTTTTGGGAAAACGCAAAATGATGCAAATTTCCCTCTTGAAGCAGCACATTCTTTCTGAAGCATAGCTGGGATTTCAGTGCCCGCTCTTTTTCAGACTTGGATTTCATTGAATTCTTCCACATTACGTGCTGTAGATAGTACTAGTTATCCCTGTGATGCTAACATCAGCACTTTCAATGATATTCCACAAAGGGGTGGTGATGATCTTTGAAACCAATCCCAGTGCTTTACAACCAGCCAGAAAGAAGGGTGTCTGCGTATCGCTCAAAACAGATTTAAGTAAACGATTGGTGGAAGCTGAAACATATTTGTTGAGAAAAGAAGTAATCTGTGGGGCAAGAAAAAAAATTGAGCCAGCATTTACAAAAACGATTCCCTTTAAATGGCAACAAAGGAAGACTGTTCAACTTGTACTCCAGTAAAAAAGGTTTAATAAAAGTGGAAAATGGCCCATGGCATCCTCTCTTCTGGTCACCTCTTCTAGCTAGAGCTTTACATGCAGTTCAAATTAGTCAAATGGTTCCTGGCTCGCTTGAATTTGCTGACTGCTTCTCTGTTCCAGGGACATTACCAGAAAAAAATTACACTCTACTTCCACCAATGTCTTCTGTGCTGTCTCAGCAATATGCACCAGTGAGTGCAGACCACATAAAAAGTTGTTGAGATGATCCATTGCATTCTTCATCAAGTGTGAGATAGTAATCCTTAACCAATGGGAGGATCTCTTTTCGGTATCTTCAACAAGGGTGTTAAACTTGATTTCTGTGGCTGCACGATCACTCATTGTATTTTGGATGTTACATAATAATCTTTTTCCTGATTTGTTAGCTTGGCTGCTGACATCATCAATATCTTGTAATATTTCCTTGAAGGTATTCAATGTGTGTTCGGCTGACTTGGTAGCTAGGTCCTGTAGACCTAGCACACAATGAACACATTCTCCATCCCTGGCTGTGTTCACCCCATACTTCTCGCCGTATTTGGAAGCCTCATCGGTGTGGAGGGTTGTAGCAGGCTTCTTAGCA